ACATAATTACTAAATCACCTCAAAACTTGCCATTGGTGTCACTACATAAAACTACCTAGGGGGTTGATTTTCATTAGGGGGAATAGTTTGATGTACAGTTACAGCTCTAGGAAAATTGGTTCATTAAAGAAAAGAAAGTAATCATCACACCAATGACTTCACAAGTGATGTAAAGAGTTTTTAAAGTTTACTTTCCCACTTGTCTTCCTATATTTTTGTCACAGAGTGATCAAGTTTATTATAATTGTAGAATATGCTGAACAAAATAATTTCCAAGGCATCATGTCACATTTTAGCATTTTGTAATAAATCATCCTAGTAGTAGGATAGAACTAACAATACAACTGCCAATGAAAGGTAATTTAGTCTTTACATTTTATCTAGGCAAAGTTTAAATCAGGTAGTATTACCAATCAGTCAGTGACATATTTATCATGTTCCAAGTTTCAAATGTTAATAGAATAGGTATTTTTTATTCACACACTGATCAAATACCTATTTCAGTTTTAATTATGTAATGAAACATAAAAAAATATTTACAAAATAAACTTTTTTTTGTTCTAGTTAATAAACAACACATAACAATTAAAAAATCTACTGCTACATTCAACAAATTCCCTGTGTTTACCCTGCCCTGCTGTTTACCTTACATAGCCTATATTTACTTTATGATGAGTTCTCATTGCAGTAACATTTATACAAAAAAAAAACAAATTTTCATTCTTCTAATACATTTTTGTAGGGATCTTTCAGCAATGGAAGCTCACAATTAATTTATACATTTCAGAATTAAAAAATAATGAAAACCATTAATACCCACCAAATAGTTGTACAAACCAAAATTATAATCGTTTTTCAATATGTAAGGTAATGGAATCTTCTTAGGCTTCATAGTTGTTAGAGCAGGTGAAACCAAGGGGAAAAGCTATACGCTTATGATAGAATAGAACATATAGCGATACAACTTTTCCCTTTTAGTTAAACTGCAATATTTGAAATCTTGATATTCAAAACAGCCATACGAAACATCCACATTCAAATGTATTTTATTTTAATATGAAAACATACTTCTTGTCGAATATTTTTGCTTTTATGTATTAAACGACTTTATCTAAAGACGTAGTTATATGTTATATCACCTGAAGAAACGATAGTCGATCCATCGGTTTATTTCATACTATAATAAGAAATATTTTACAAAAATGTAAACGCCTTTAGAGTTTGAGAATTAGGTACATGTTTAAGATATAAAACAAATAATTACAACAACGTTAGACCAAACACGTTAAATAAAACACCGGATCTACATAATCAAATAGTAAAACAGAAAGTTTTAATATAAGAAAAATAATAATGTATGTGTTATTTCTGTAAGATACTAAAAATCTTTATTCCATAACTAGTATTTAATACTCACTAAAAGCGCCACACAACACGGTTGATCACAAAATGGATACCATATTCCCAAAAGTTAAACTGTGCAAAAGTTCCAGTTACAAACGTTCAAAATCTTAAAAGTTCGATTAAGGAACAAAGTTTTTATCAATCTAATGTCTTATTGAGATTCGAAGCTTAAAATCAAAAACTCTCAAAATTTTAACCATCAGCACAGCCACTACACTCCGTCCATTTTGTTGCCTAAAATTTGTTTTTTTTTTACAGTCCAAAACAAAGTTACCATACAGCCATTTTAACTTTTATAGTTGATCGTCAGTTGTTTATTAATTTCATTGCTTTTTTTTTAAAAAGTAAATACTTGTAATAATGTTAATCACGTAAAAATAAAAATAAAGCATTTAGTTCTTACATTAAAGAAAAATACTGATATTTTTATCGTTGCAATGTAACAACCCAGATTTGATGGCAGCGTTTTCATGACTCCAGTCCAGTATAAGTTTTCAAATTGTAAAAATAACGGTGATGATGAGTTACATAAAGCGGTTGAATAATGTTTAATGAACATACACAAAATGCTAAATTCGGTTCGGGTCGCTACGCTAGCGGATTAAGGACAGTAGCACAAGCGGAGCAGGGACTATTTTGGCGTTGTTTGACCACATAAATTAAGAGTTTCAGGTTATTCAGCAGATGAAGTTATTTTTTATATAATCTTTGCGGTGTTTAACACCACTATGAAAAAATTGCGGCCGATGCCAAATACGCAGTCCAGATAATGATTCTCTTAAATAAGAAACTTGCGGTTCCTGTTTAATTGTTGCGTCAACACTGGACTGGTATATTACAAACTGCTGTTTTCCAACACTTCTTTCGATCTCTTCTGGGTTTCTGTCTTGGAGGAGGAATACCTAGAGTTCGCTTCAAAATGTTGGTGATCGAAGCCAGCACAGCTTACTATCTATAGACCGATAAAGTTAACTGGCCCGGTAGACAAAATTCAACTGACAGCACACTTGCGCCTTTCGTCAATGTTAAAATGCTTCAAAAGTTATAAGATCATTAACTTAATGTAGCAGAGCTGTAATGTCATGTTTTTCTTTCATGCCATTTTCTACACCAATGCAAATTGGCCATCTTCTGTGAGAGAATTAATTGATAAAAACATTAGTAACAACTCATCTCAGTCTCAACGGGCCAGATAAGTTTGTCGCACTATCAGCCTACATGTTTTACACTCTGTGACAAACAAAGAGTAACAATATAATATGGTGGGCGGTGGGCGCGCGATCTGGAGTACAATTACTGGAGTGTCATGTTAAATTCTCACCTATCTCATAAAATACCGAGGGCATAAATTCTGTAGCCCATGATTTACTAAATTTATTACTAAAATTAGAGAATTGAAAATTGTCAATTACAGTCTAAATGATGAAACTGGTCGATCAAGTTGTTAGAAGTTTTAAGGTAGCAAAAGTGTTTCGGGAAAACACAGACAAAATAAACAGTATAGACTTTTCACCCAATGGTGAAACTTTAATATCCTGCAGCGAAGATGATCAAATTGTTATATATGACTGTGAAAAGGGCACCCAAATGATAACTGTAAATAGTAAGAAATATGGTGTCGATTTAATACATTTTACCCATGCCAAAAATACAGCTATTCACAGTTCGACTAAAGTTGACGATACTATAAGATATTTGTCCCTACATGACAACAAATACATCAGATATTTCCCAGGACATACGAAAAAGGTTGTCACACTCTGTCTGTCTCCAGTAGAAGATACATTTTTATCTGGATCTTTAGACAAAACCTTACGTCTTTGGGATCTGCGATCACCTAATTGTCAAGGCTTAATGAACTTATCAGGTCGCCCTGTAGCCGCTTATGATCCTGAAGGACTGATATTTGCAGCAGGAGTAAATTCTGAAAGTATAAAATTATATGATTTAAGATCATTTGATAAAGGTCCTTTTGTGACATTTAAACTCAATCAAGAAAAGGAGTGCGACTGGACTGGATTGAAATTTTCAAGAGATGGAAAAACAATGTTAATAAGTACAAATGGATCAATTATACGTTTAGTTGATGCTTATCATGGAACTCCACTCCAAACATTCACAGGACATTTGAATAACAAAGGCATACCAATTGAGGCTTCATTTAGTCCCGATTCTCAATATATCTTTAGTGGATCTACAGATGGTAGAGTGCATGTCTGGAATGCTGATACTGGGTACAAAGTTTGTGTACTCAATGGAGATCATCCAGCACCAATTCAATGTGTTCAATTTAATCCTAAGTTTATGATGTTAGCATCTGCATGTACAAACATGGCATTTTGGCTACCAACAATTGATGATGTTTAATTTACATCTGTAGTGTCTTTGTCCAAGTACCTTATAATTTGTTATTTGACAGCAATGAGAATTTAATTTGTATCTAAGTGTTTAAAAACATCGTAGTTTTTCGAGGTACACAATTTAAATCTTATAAATCATCTTTAAGATCTGTCTTTTCAATTGGTTTAAGGATAGAAGAAAATTCATAAATTATTAAATCAATATCTTTTAAACATTATGCAGCCATTTTTCGATAAAATTGCATTAAATATATGTAGTAAATAGTACATGCATTTAGTTTTCATTCCATGTAACATTCTATTTTATCTATAATAGTTAAATTTTAAGATTTTCTTAACTATTAGTTTTAATACTATACTACTTAAGAATATGTATTTCCACCTAAACTTTGAATGACTTTAAATAACACAGAAATGTAGTGTTTTATTTTTTTAATCCTCTACATATTATAATCTATGTGTATGATGTAAACCAATGTATCATCCATATTTAAAAAAAAGAAACCTAATTGCTTCATTGGGGTTAAAAATCTACAAATAGATTTTACAGAAAAATATAGGGTTAGGTCCGGAATTGTGATTATAACCTTTAAAATGTTTAGTTGTGTCTGCATATTTACTGATTATATTTTAATTAACCTAATTTAAGGATTTTGAATAAATCTGAAGAAGTTGGGAAATTGAAATCTAATGTATCCAATATGGCAGCCGATATACAAAATGGTCTTTGACGTAAGCAACAGCCCTGACTGACCCTGACCTGGGTACTAAAAGAAAAGAAAGCTTCATAGTTGATTAGTAGAATACAGTACTTGGAAAAAATCCTAGATTGACATTGGAAATAATATTAAATTCAACATCTAGGTCCAATAACAAGAATTTACTGACCCTTTACACTTATTAACAAGATGTGTAAATCGAAATCTCAATATGTAATATATTTGAAATAGCTTTCATATGTTTTGTCCATATCGGCATTTCTTCCTCCAGGGACTTAGTTGACTAGGGTAAAAAAGGACTAGGTATATCCATAAAGTTAGAGCTCAAGGATATGTTTCCTTTGGTATTTTTTTACAAAAAAAAGTAATTGAAATCCTAAATACTAAATTAGTTTTATTTTAACTTTGGCATGCTGTTATTATTTTTTTACCCAAAAAAATCCTCAAGTACTTTTTTTAAAACCTTCCCGACAACTCATGACATGAGTTTCTTTCAGTGTGACATTGACATTTGACTTGACAGTCTCCTCGTTTTGCGTTTCCGTTTCACTTTTTCCAATCCAAACTTAGTCTTCGTTTTTTATCTTATGTTTTAATGCTTATTCTTCTAGTTATACGATCTTTGGAGGAAATAGGTTATAAATTCGTTGTAATAATTTACTTGGGTTACAGTTATGTGACGAGGTTGACCAGTGTTGGTTATGTAAAATAATGCTACTAATTCATTTTTATTATAATATATAAAGTTGTAAAGGTGATCCTGAATAGTAACGAAGATTGCAATTGTAACATCACCTTTTTCCTGTGAATGAAATATAAATGAAATAACTTAACAATGAGAAAAGTCAACGAGAAGGCGATGAAAACTGTTAATAGTTACGCATCAAATGATTATGTAGATGCCTTTAGCTATATTAACGAAAGACCAGTAGATGACATATCACTGGAATTTTTCTATAAACCCCATACGATAACTCTTTTGGCAGTTTCAATTGCTACTGTTATCTATACTGCTTTTGTAAGGTAAATATATTTTGTATCAAGGTAATGGCAGCTGTTTTGTTTAAGAATTACGTCAATTCTTTTTCTGTTTCAGGGATGAATCTACAATACAAGACAACATTTGGTCCGGCACTTGCTGTGTTGTATTTTTCTTCCTTATCATATCAGTTCTAACCTTTCCCAATGGACCTTTTACAAGGCCACATCCAGCTGTTTGGAGAATTGTATTTGGTGCTTCAGTACTTTATCTTCTTGCACTTTTATTTCTGCTGTTTCAAAGTCATTCCACTGTAAATGAAATAATGTATTGGATTGATCCAAATCTACGGAACTTCCATATTGATATGGATAAGGTGTGTATTTATTAATTATCCTACTTTTGTATTATTTCACACAAACCAATAATATGAGGTAGTTGCTTATGTTACTTTAATATGACTTTACAGGAATATGCTGTGAATTGCTCTGACATTTCTGTAGCCAAAGTTTGGTCTCATGTGGATGTTTTTGCTTGGGGACACTTCTTAGGATGGATGTTTAAAGCAATTTTATTCAGACATACTGGCCTACTTTGGGCTATTTCCATTATGTGGGAAATTACCGAAATAGCATTTGCACATTTACTACCTAACTTTTTAGAGTGTTGGTGGGATTCAATAATTTTAGATGTCTTAATTTGCAACGGTTTTGGTATTTGGTGTGGTTTAAAAATATGCAAGGCTTTAGAAATGAGAGAATATAAATGGGTCAGTATAAGGTAATCATTTAACACTATTAATGTGTACTTTAATTAATTTCCAATAATTTTGCAAACATTCTTATACCTTTGTAAGAATGTCTTAATATTGACAGATTTTTTTATTATGAATGTTTGGAGTCTGGTTATCAGGTGCTTCTTAAGTGCATCATAATATTTAACTTTTGTAACTACTGTATTATTTAGTTGGATCATACAATTTTATATAACCAGAACTTAATGGATAGGATAGATGCAGGTTATTCAAATGTCATAAGAAAGCAAGAGATGACAAATGTTTATTAATTAGGTATTTGATAAATAATGTATAAAGATAATCTGTACTAAATATAAGAATAGTATAACATTACAAACACCTTAATGTTATTTTAATCAATAAAATGAATTATAATTTGGTTACTGAGAAAAGGTTAAATATTTTTTTCAATGTTTCAGGGACATTTCATCAACTACAGGTAAAATTAAAAGAGCTATTCTTCAATTTACACCAGTTCACTGGACACCTGTTAGATGGCTCGATCCAAATTGCACTTACATGCGATTCTTTGCTTTGAGCCAGTTGGTTGTATTTTGGCAAATATCTGAACTCAATACATTTTTTTTGAAACACATATTTGAAATGCCTCCATCACATCCTTTGGTGATTGCACGGTTGTGTCTCATTGGAGTGATTGTAGCCCCATCAGTCAGGTAAATGTCTATAGTTTGTTTGGAGTGTTCCATACAACTTGTTTGTTTAATTAAAAAAAAAATTAATAATGCAAAATTGTATGCCAGTATGTTGTGAAATTATTCCAAATATGAAAAATACCAATGTTTTATTATAACAAAATGTAACCCATTACTATTTAAAATGACATTTACAACAATTGGTTTGAACGAATTATTAAAAAATATGAAATCCTATAAACTTTAGTTGTTTTTCTACTCTTAACATATTAATATTAAAAATTTCTTATCTCTTTTTAATAAGGTGATTTATTTTAATCTAAAAAATAAACATTACAAGGCCATGGAGTAAATTGAAATTACAGTTCATTAGTTGATGCTCTAATTGAGGTCACATTTTAGACAGAATCTAAATTCATACTCATAAATATGAAATCATTGTATGTATTTTTAATTGACTTATTTTTTATATTTTAGGCAATATTACACATATGTGACAGACTCGAGATGCAAGAGAGTGGGCACACAATGTTGGGTGTATGGAGCTATCATGGTAACTGAATCCATGCTATGCATTAAAAATGGCAAGGAACTATTTGGTCAGGCTCAAGTTTGCAATGTTATTGTATGGCTAGTTATTCAAATTCTCGTGTCAATAGGCTGTGTATATGGAGTGGTGTTGTACCATCGTTATTTTGAGGTATGTTATTTAACAAATTCTTTATTTTATCACATTTACTGTCGAATACTAAAACAATTCGACACTTCCCTGCTGACAATCTAACAGACATCATGGAATTTGAGGTTTAAATGAGATCTTGTAATTTAAGATGCTGTTACATATTCAAATCTCGTTTCAGTACTCGGCCATTAGAGTTGTTCATTTATTCGGTATCTATTTCTATATTACGATGTGATTATAGGTCCAAATTATTATAGTCTGTAATATCTATTCTACATATTCCTAGTGTTTAAAGGCGTGACATTATTTGATGGATGATGTATATGATATAATTTTCATGCACACACAAATTTGTTACTGAATAAATCCCACATCCTTTAAATAAATATTATAATAATAGAGTTTTAAAAGTCATTATTTTCGGGGTCATACTAAATTTCTGATTTATTAGAAGAAAATAATATTTTTTTTTGATGTAGTGAAGGTAACTAGTATGTATATTTAAATGGGCTATAACCATTTATAATTAGGATTTCATAAATAAATCAATGAGAAATGAAACCTCAGCCAGATCAGAGATTATAGCTGTTAGCTTTTGGTTTTTACATGATTAAATTTTATTTGCAGCCAACTAAAGACTTAGGTCAAGAGACTCCCATAAAAGACAAACAGAATTGAAAAGGTTGAGTAAATCATAATTCAAGCAAACTGTCCCTGGCATCGCAAGAATTCAATACACATTTATTTGATTCTTCCTGTCATACCAAATAGAATAGTATAATTATGAAACAATTTATTCCAGAATATTGTGTAAATCCCTTTTCCTTTTAATTACAATTTCTCAGTACCGGGAAATTCCTTCTAAATTATTTCATGATAGTGTTTCAGATGTGACAGATGAGACTTGATATTATTTAAAGTAGGTCAGTGTTGTGATGTTTGTAGCTTAATTATTGACTGCTAAATATTATTCAATGTATTCTAGAAACGCCAAATATAATTTATTAGATTTACTATTAAATTATTGTTCTGACATCTTCCTTTAGATATAATTTCATTAAAGTCAAGTATGTGATATTGCTGATACCACAGATATATTACCTCTAGTTGGAGTGTTTCTTATAGCTTATTGTTTTAATGTACGTGATACAAATGTTTACCAGTATATTATATATATATATATAAATTGGACAGTTTTATCAAATTGCGGAAATTGAAGTGCATAAAAATGATAAGCAAAAGAAAGTAAATGTTTGGTTAATTTATTATTATATTTTTACCTAAAACATATTTAAACACAATTTTAACAAACACAATTTAGTTTAATTGTTATAAAAATATTTTAAACTTTACTAAAAACTAAGAAATAAATATAGACAGGATAAGAAGTCAATTTAATTTTTATTTAAATACTAGCTGTCGCCACCGACCGTGTCCGCACGGAATTAAAAAAAAAGTTATTAAGGCGCCTGTGTTCTTCCAAAATAAGATCTTTCGAGCCTTTCTGGAGCTACCTGCTAACAAACATCCATTCATCGAAACTTACCCATTTGTAAAATTAGTAGGGTTTTAATGTAAATTATGACACTGGGGAATTTTGCCATTAAAAATGGTCCTGGAAATCGTCTAACCCACATAATTTTGTGCTCCGAACGCTCCATATAGAAGTATTAATCCATTGCTGGTACAATGACGATAGTGTGTTTAGGATAGTAATTGCTATCCATAAAGACATTTTACTTTTGGTTTAAGTTCTAGTCTGAAGTTTAGTTTAAGATTGTGAGATCATTTAAATGATTAATATCATTCACAGTAAGTTGAATAAAAAATCTGTCGTATCTTTTGCTTTGATGTGATTTGCGCTTACGACTTTAAGTAACATATTGGTTGTATTAGTCAGATAAAAATAAATTTTATTTCAAATACTTTGTTGTTTGCATGGATTATATATATAACAAATACAAGAGTGTGTCGTTGAACTATCAAGAATCTATATAGAAAAATGTAGGGATTTATGACTTATTTCTAACTTTTAAATATTGATTTTCTGTCAAATACACAGCAATCCTTTCATTAAATATTGTTCAATATAAATATTTATGTAAAAGAGTAAATTAATTTACTTATTCTTTTTAACTAGCTTAAAAATTATGCTACCATTGTTTTATTGTAATTAGCATTGTTTTGTCAATAGAGAAACTATCTGTTTCTTGTTATAATATAAACATATTATACTAAAATTGACATAAGATACCTTATGTATTCATAAAAGTGTAAAATAGTACATAGAATTATATAAATGTTTTAGTGATGTGCCGAATCTTAAGATGCATATATGTGGATACTCATTGCAGTCGAAATTTGTGGATATGGACCCTAATTATTTTTACGTAATATGAAATTTCCCTTATATACGGTAGCACCATGTTAATTTATTAATTGTTAGCTGTTTCCGTACGATTCTATCTGTATCAAATTATAAAACTTTATATTTTTGTATACACTTGATAAATTATCATTTGCAAATGTCAAAATTGAAATGCACAAAAGACAACGCATGAACAATTACCGTTACCATGGCAATCTTAATTCTTTGCTGCTATTGGTTTGTGTTTAGTTTTTTATTGTAGTTTGTTCTTTCCTACATGAAAATGTTTTCGTTTTAATATATTCGTAAATATGATTATTATTAAACGCCCCTTATTTGGACTTCTGATGTATATGTACTAAACTAGTTCGTCTACCAAATTTGTAAACGATTAATCAATTATTCTTAAAAATTCCGATTTATATTTCAACTATATATTTGGATTTATTCACGGCGATAACTAAATTGTGTCATACATAGTTCCTATTCGTGACACATTCAATCCTTATTTTTTAGGAAACTATTGCTAGGTGTAATAATATTATCTTAGGTAATCTTAAGTATCTTCAGTCATTCCAAATATTTTTATGATTTATTTTTCAGAGTTACTGATATTCGAAAATGCAAAAGGTCCATTAAATTTTGTCGTCAAAATTTGGCGAATACGTATCTTTTTATTAATTTCCTCGCCTACACAAATTCGGCACATCACTAATTTTAAAAGAAAACGGTTGCAAGTGAGAATTAAATAATGTCACCGGCAAATCGTCAATGTGCGTGTAACTAATCTCGAAATACAATTTTTCGAAACAAGGTACTTAATCGGGGCAAATCATAACGGAGCCGCATACACGACTTGCCGATGACGTGTACATAGATACATAATACCTGTCTCGAATAAATCACTGATCCCATAGCAATAATTATATTTTTCTTTAAACTTTAATCTAAAAGCGTTAATGACGGGTATTGATTAGTAGTCTAGTTATTTTGTAGATTAAAATGTTCCTTTATATGTTGTTTTTATTTCCGTATGTTAAAAAAAGTTTTTATTCAACCGACCAGATTGGTGAAACCAGGTAGCGTGTCTAGATAGCATTCCATCTGATGTTCTTACGCGTGGAAACATTTTTTAAACTTAAAATATTTTCTATCATATTTGTATGCAGCTGGGCAGTGATGATGAAGAGTTAAAGTTTACGAAAAGACGGAGTAAATTTACGATAAAATAATCCCGCTATCGGTGAATTACCAATGAGCATGTCGTATATAGCTCGTGTTTCTGCTTTTGCTTTAAGACAGGTTGATACATTTTTTGGCAGACTAAACTTTTTTTCCCAAAAACATAACGAAATTCTTCAATGTTTCACATTTAACATTTTAAATTTTAACCTAATAATTTGTTTTTCGTTTTTGCAACTTTTGAATTTTCTTGTTTAATGCAATCTATCTTCACAACCGACGCAGAGTCCGAAACATCATCATTGATTGGAATTGCTAATAGATGACGCCATTTTGCCTATAAGATCCTCAGTTAAGATATTGTACTTTCCTGGCCCGCCGCCAGGATACTTACATTAACCTCGTCAAATCAATCAATATTAAGATCGGTTAGTAAAAATCTAAGATTTACCGTAATTCGAGCTTTAACAGCAACACTCAAAACAAATGGTTTTGAGTTTTGTTTTGTTACCAAAGTTCGCACATGATTATCAAAACCATCATTTCAGTGGATAAAAAGGTGTAATGGTATATAGTTTAAAATATATTGATATTTAATTTAAGTCTGGAAAATGTCAGTAACGTGACTACAATCATAGTTATAGGCGACAATAATTAAAAAATAAAATGTCCTTGAGAAATAATATAATTAAACAAACAAATAATACATGTGTAAAACTCCAATCATAAAGGGATTGTTAACTGGGTTTATAGATTTGTATGGGCTATAAGTTTATTCATCTTTACTTCCATCACTTTAATTTTATCATATGTACATTTAACATGATGTTAAAGTGATTAGCTATTTTGACAGGTGCTTGCTTGTTAAATTATTAAACATCTATAAGTTGTCCTGAACAACAGTTGCATGGGTAAAAGTTTTTGAAATCCAGCATTTTATGATTTAAGGATATCAATGAACTGGTTTTTACACTTAACATTATTTCCATTACCTTATCTAAATCATTTTTCCTTGATTCATCTTGCAAAAATTTTTTCAACTCATCATCATTCGCAAATCTCAATAGCAAGTTGTTTAGCTCTTCTAATTGCATCTTCAATTTATTACTTTCTATTTGAAACATTTTGATCTGTTCGGTCCTGTCTTCATCTCGTTTTTTCAACAAACTGCGCTGTTGCTGGTACAGAGCTATATATTCACATATTGTATCTGTTTCATTTTGCAGTTGAAGAATTATGTGTTCTAGTCTATGTTTTTCATCTGATAAATTCGCAACTTCATCCATAATATTTAAAAACCTCTCTTGAAGTTTTAACATTGCATCTTCCTTAGCAATGCTTAATCTTATTTCCTCATCATCAAATTCAATCAAATTTCTTCTTTCATCACACTCTTGGTTATGAACATGAAAACCATCTTTTTCATTGGCATTTATATCTTTTTCCTCATTATTGACAGCGTTTTCCTCTTTTTCTTTAACCTGATGGTTGTTTTCGAGAGATTTCTCGTAATTTATTTGTAAAATACGGGAACTATTCTGCAACCTTATCATTTCATCATCCTTTGCTTTTAATTTGTTTTGTACACTTTTTAAATTCTCTTCTATATCAGCAAGTTTTAGCATCAATTCCTTGTTCAATTGCTTTTCATGAGTAAGTTTGTCTGTTAAATCTAATTTGTCTTTACTCTGAAATTAAACAGAAAGAAATTTTGTTATTTTGATAAAAAAAACAACAGATTACTTTTAATAGTAATAGTAGGGGCTACGGTTTCCGTAACTCCATGACTAGCGCGTATCTTTGCTTAATTTTTAATAGTAATGTATTTTATGTACACTAAAGTAAATTAAATATCAAATGTTCACTTAAACATCCTTTTGTTATAAAAAAATATGAAAGATATGAAAATCAATTAATGGCAAATCATTATTTTCTTACAAAATGTGAAAGATATTGTTTAAGGTTTTTAATTTAACAGCAAAAGTAAAAGGACGACGTAACGACGCTAAGGTGACATTAACAGTGGTAATGTAATAGTTAATACAACAAGGGGCTGTAGGATCATCAACTGGTTTTGTATTAACTGTGACATCACTGTCTCTTACCACGCGGTGTGGAGAACCCATAGATTATTGTAAGTTACCATTTTTATGAAGGCAAATTCCAACTCAGCTAAATCAGTTTTAAGTTTTTTATTCTGTTCCGTTGCCCGCTGTGCTGCAATTTTGTCACTGGCAATGTCAGCATTTAGTTTAGATATACTTATATTGTCCTGATCACTGTTAATTTCTTTACTCTTATTCAAGGTTTCAATTTGGGCTTGAGTTTCATAACATTTAGCTTGAAGTTCATCATATGCATCATTTAATTCTTGAATTTTTTTCTGAAATGTTACAAAACATACTGTTAGACGATATTTAAAACAAGTGCACAGGAACTCAATCTAACAAAAAATAATAATTATTTGAGTTTAATAAAGTTGATCTAATGGGATTTAATTTATTTAAAGACACAGACCAGTTGCATAAGTCTTGGGTAGTACACATACAATGTACTAAAAAGTAATGTTACTCGGCACTGTACTAAAAGTAATGTTACCGAACGGCTTCTGTTAATAGGACATTTAGCACTTTAAGTACAGTTTTACATGATATCGGTGTTTGCTTCTTCGTTGTACAATTTGATTGTATATTTGCCAGATTGAAGCATACACCTTCGGTAATTAAAATCAAAAGTGGATAAAATTATTTATAACTTAAATTTATTTTCGCTAATAACATATGTTCGACCATGGTTAAAATTTGATGTAAAGTAATCTATAACCCCCATTATACACTATTAATGGTGTTGTGTTCTCACAAATCGGAAGTACTAAACATACTAAAAGTGTGTACTAGTACAGTGCGCATTTGCAGATGTCCGATTAAGCCCAAGACTAAGTTACATGTTTATTAGGTGTATAGATTTTGTAATAAATAAAAATTAATATACCTCTTTAGTTTTAATTACTTCTTGCAGTTTTAACACATTGTCCATTTCTTCAGTTTTGTTGGATTGAATATTTTGAAGTCTTATTTCCATTTCACTTAATTGATCAACGAGATTAGTTTCTCTGTTTTGCAGTCGTTGACATTCCATGGTCAAATCACGATTACTTGTTTCCATTGCTCTGAGTTGTTTGTTAAGCTCACTAACATAATGCTGATAGTGAGAACTAATACTATCTCTTTCCTTTTGGAGTGATTGCATTTGTTGCTCTAAGTTAGATATTTTTTGGTAAAGTTGGACATTTGATGTTTGCTCTTCTGGCTCTTGACATATATTAATGTTAGAGTTATTGTTCAATTGTTTAATCTGCAACTGGAGCACATCTATTTGGTTTTGGAGCACTGAAATATGATTAGTAAGTTGAGAATTTTCATTTTCTTTGACAGTTAAAACTGTTTTTGTGAATTCTAATTGTTCTATTAAATTGGTGTTTTGTTCAGATAAAGCTGTTATTTTGCTTTGCAGATTCAATATTGTATTCTTCTGTAAAGAATTTTCATTATTTACAACAGTATATTTGTTTTGAACAGTTTGCAGTTCCATCTGCAAGCGGGAGACAGTTTGTGCGTGAGCATTTTGTTGTTCTACTGCTGAATTACAACTTTTCTGCATTTCCATCAGTTGTTTTTCTAATGTTTTAACTTGTTCTTCAAGTTTAGTGTTATTAGTAATTAAAATTTCCGTTACATTCATATCGCTTTTGTTGAGCGTTTCTTTATTTTTTAAAGGATGATTATCACGATAAGACTTCTCTAAACCGGTGCTAGTAGTAAATTCTTTTACTTTTTCAATTTCCTCCGTTGCTTCTTTTTGTAATGTATTATACTCCTGATAGGACCCTGAAACTTCAGCACGTACCATTTTCTTTTCTTGATGGTGTTTTAGCTGCAATATAAATTTGTTTTTCAACATACTGACGTGTTAATCTCTATTCAATGTATGGCAAAAATAAGTATGCATTTCATTACCTTCTGTCTTGCAGACGCTAGTTTAGCCGCCCTTTCGTCCATTATGATCTTGTGGAATTGTGTTTTCAATTAAGCAATTAATTATTTACTTTCAGACAATTAAAATAGGATGATTAATGATTGAAATTCACCCATTGTCAATTGTCAGGATGTCACTTGCTTATCACTACTTGTCACCAAGCGGCACAGAAATGTATACAATAGTCCATGATTTAAAATAATCTGTATTTAATCTTTTTTATAAATCTGACGAAAAAAATAAAGTTATTATTCATGATTTTGTTAAATAAATTTTTTAAGTTGCACAATCAACTTATTTTGAAAAAATCTTAAAATCTTAATTGCTAAAAAATGGTTAACGTTCGTTTATTGTATAAAGGAGTCAAAATGATTACAAATGAACCCCTCCATCACCTCTGAACGGGAATAAGTTTAATTCCCAATAACCCTGTTGATATTCTGCGTATAAAACTGATTTTTATATCTGTATCAAATGTGAATGGTCGCGTAAAAATTTACATTGGCAACACTTTCGGCTTCGGCTTCGGCTGACAGTTGACAGGCTGTCTGACTTTTGTTGATTAGGTTGTTTTTAAGAATCGAGATTTTTTGTTCGATTTCTTTTTGAAGGTTATATTTTAGTGTTTTATTTTTGTTAAAAACACTATATATCCCATCACAACCTAAAATACTTACATTTTTATAACTGTAACGACTTGTATTTAAACTTACAAACAAATGCAAGATGAATGATAACACTTCAATTAATTATGAATTGTCATTAAAGTATTGGGCTGAGATTCCTCCTACTCTGGATGGAGTGCTTGGAGGATTTGGATTCATCTCAAATGCTGATATTGAAGGGTCAAAACTGTTCTTAAAATCAATATTTGCTTTAGATAATGGCCCTGCTCCAAATGTCGCTTTGGATTGTGGTGCTGGTATTGGCCGAATAACAAAATATTTACTAATACCGAGTTTTAAAAAGGTGGATGTAATAGAACCTGATGAAAAATTTATTAATGCAATAGAGGACTTTGTTGGTGAAAACAAAAATCAAGTTGAATCTTTATATAAAGTCAGCCTACAGGAATTTATACCAGAGAAAAAGTATGATGTTATATGGAATCAGTGGGTTTTAGGATATTTAACAGATGAAGATCTTGTACTATATCTAAACAGATGCAGGTAAATATGCACACATAGAAAAAATATTTATTTGAAGTGGATAAAATGAGTAAAGTTGATATGTTTATTTAAACAATTTACAGAGAGGCATTGACTGAAAATGGAGTTCTAGTTGTTAAGGAAAATGTCACCTCATCAGGTGCCATAGAAAAAGATGAGGCAGATTCATCAGTGACTAGGTCTTTAAAAGATTACATGAGAATTTTTAAAAAAGCAAATTTAAAAAGGATTAAACAATGTAAGCAAACCAACTTTCCTAGTGGCATTTATCCTGTTTATATGTTTGCTCTTGTACCAAACACAAGAATACCAGAATTATCTTATGCTACTAGATTGAGAAGCACACACCATAATGCTTCTGACCTATAAGAAACTAGTAAGTAGTAAAGTTATGGTTAAAGTATTATTTTGTAAATGTGTATGTACACACTATAAGACACAAGAAATACAATTTTAATAAAATTGTAGATGTAAAATATACATTTCTATTTTTATAATAAATGCTTGAAATGTAAGTCTTTACTTTTTTTAAGTTTATACCCTTGTGTGTGTAGTATTTATTTAAATTAATCTTGTATGTAATACCAATGGAACTCCTTACATTAATAAAACTACATGTTCTGAACAAGTGCAGATCCAGCTTTGGCGCCTGGGGTGGGGGGAGGTAACATGATTGTGATCGAGTCAAGAGCTTGACAAAATATGTAAATATACTTTGTCAAGCTCTTGACCAATCGGCTCAGGGGGGTCATGATCCTCCCCTGGATCCGCCGTTGGTTCTGAGCAAAGTCATCTTCTTTTCAAGATTTTTTTTAAATGCTTAAATATAGTTATTAAATATTTTACGTTAACTTTTAATTATTGGGTAGTACAGAAAAAAAAATCTTGTTTCTCATTATGTATATCATCTCTTATAATGTACGTAAGATACGGGTTTCTTACCACGATTGGATTGTTTTAGCTCCCGTTATTTCGGCACAGTTCTATGTTGAGCTAAAACCGTATCTTACGAACATTAAATTATCATCTTATATATTTGATTATATGCTATTGAAAAATAAAACCTGTTTTAAACATCGCCTTTTCTTCATACAAAATTCTGTTATTATTGGTTTTAGTATTGGTTGTTGATGTGAAGTGGTAAATGAATTTTAAAACTGATTTTTCAAATATTTTTATTAAAAACAATTAACAAAAGTGAAGAAACATTTTATAATAATCATAGAGATGGCAATATCATGTATCTTTTCTGCATAATGTACCATATTCTGTAATATTTTATAGTAACGACAAAATCGCAAGTCCACACAAGACACCGCGCGTTATGCGATAAGTAAATACTAACATGTACATATTTAAATTATATTTATACTAAGAAGTGTTCCATTGTATCAATTGATTCTTCTATAGGTGTTAGTTGCCTGTTAGTAAGGCATTTTCTAATTTTATACAAATCTACATTGTCATGCATCATATCTTCTAATAGGGCTTGTGTCGATATTAAAGTTGTTAATTTTAATATAATTTCTTATAAACTCGCGATCACTGTCTGTTAAAAGTGTCCAACTCTCTAGTTCTACTAATGTTTCTAAGCTCATGCAACTATGGATTATTCTTTCGACCGAAGTAACAGTCATGAAGTCAGATTGCATTATACGTAATTCTCTCAAATGTATCAGTGGATTTTTCTCTAATATTTTAAACATGAATTCGTCGGTGAATTGTATAGCTGTCCCAATGTGAAGGAATTCTACGTTAACACAATTACTTAGTAAGAATAATAACTGTTCATCTGTGCAAGTGCTTACGCACGTTAATTTCTTCAGATTTCTAAAGGGTAATATATCAAGTTTTTTTGTGTATAAAGATGTATGCTGTATCAATGAGCAATTATAAAGAGTCAAACTTTCAAGCAATGGACACATTTGACTTATATACATTAAAGCGTTCAAATCGATTTGATCAACATGTTCAAGGTGTAAGTGAATTATGTTACATCCCTTGGCTTGGAGCACCTGTTTAACTTGATCCGCATAAAAGTCACACGATAGCAATTTGAGATCGCACAGATGATCTAAACCTATCAATACCATGAGATCGCTCTGCAAAGTGTTGTGGAAAACTGTCATGCTACGAATCAAGGGACACATTTTCACCGCCAATTGTAAATGAGTATCGGTAGCATAACGACTGACGTAAGTTTTTAATTTAAGTTGCTTCAGTCCAATGTCCGTTTTATGTATAAACTCTAATACTCTGCCAATTTCGTCACATCTACCCACGTCTTCCAAATTGTCGCAATGCAAAAGCAAATTTGCAAATCCTGTCCACGTAACCGACGTCCTATAGAGTTGTATGCTTTTTAATTTTTTTAAGTTACAAATGATATCAACACTCTCATTTGTTATGCATTTAGAAGAAGATACATCTAGCGTTTCTATTTTTGGACAATTTTGTACAATACATATAAGTATGTTATCAGTACAATCGTAGTTTATAAACAGATATTTAAGGGAATGCAATTCTTTTAAGGATTGAATAATCGCGCCCTCCATATCTGCTGTTTTCCACCCACCTGAGAGAGAACCCAAATTTAAATGTACTAACCCTTTGAGCATGTATAACTTGGCATAGAAAACTGAACGAATCATCTTTGGAATTCTATCAATAGATAAATATGTAAGATTTTTAGTAAAGAGTACCTCAGACATTTTTACAATAACATTCATTTGAGTGACAAATTTCCCCATGGAAATTCTAAACCCATACGAATTTTTAGTTTTTTCTATTAAATCTGAAAGAGCTCTGACCGTCTCTTCTGCTAATGAATCGTAAAGCATCCAAGGTACATTAAAATCAAGATAAGATCGAATAACGTCAATGCTATTTGCTAGGACTATTTGTACATTACTGAT